GATCGATCAATTCATACTCCATCATCAAGTCGTCGATCATTTAAAAATGCATTTGGACACCATTTGCACCCACGTTCACATATAAAAATTTTCTGTCAGCACCGACAACAGCTAGTAATATAATGCTAAAAAATTTTTTATGACAAAAAAAAGAACTGCCGCTTTTCTTTGGTTTTTGAATGCGGATGTGTTTACCGTCGATGAAACCTAGCGCACCGGGAAAAGCACAATCGATCTTCATTGAAATCTTCATATTCTCAATCAACCAGTCATTTGCGTTCATTGGTAATTTGATCGAACCACGAAGAACATGGTTAAGAGCAATCGACACTTCCCACATGATCTTCGACATTGCCGGTTGCGAGATATTGACGTTCCGGGCTAGCGATGATAAAGTATTACCTTCTGCCACAAATTTAAAATAGGCCGATAATCGTTCGTGTGGACTAATTGGAACACGCATTACAGTAGTTTGCTTTTTTATATACGGTGTTACCATTTTCAAAATCTTTACGTAGGAATCTTCTGTCATCCGCATATACTGGCGAAAGTGTTTGCCAGTCAAACGATATTGGTCGATGATACGAACTCGAGAATATCTCGTTCGATCAAGATACCATCTATTGCACCAAATTCTTTTCTTTTTTTGAGCGGATGATAACACAATCAGACCACAAAGCATCATAACTTCATCCAATTCTTCCTCGTCCCAATCCATCAGAACAACACAAAACGAAAACAGATTAACAATCTCAATTGAAGTTTTTTTAATTTGAATGAATAATAATACTTTTTTATAAAGAAATAAATTATTATACCTTATTAATCAACGAATTAAGAACCAAAAATAAAGAAACCAAAAATGAATCATCAAAATAAACAGAAAGATAAATTTGAAAATAATTCGAAATTCGAATGTTTTGCGCCAATGTTCCGTTCATAAACATCATGACAAAACAAGAAATTATTATTCTTGGTGTCGCAACGAAGAACGATCTCAACAACAACA